GTTTCAATTTAGCCATTCTGGTACAAGTTTGTCTAGAATATATGGTATGTGGCTAGTATTGGAATCCAGAACTCACGCTTCGTCCTGTTTAGAACTATAGGATGCAGGCACATCCTGCTGACGAGTCCCGAATAGGACGAGACGCGGATCTTGGACTCTACAACTGGCAACATTCCATATATATTGTTGAATATTACTAGAAACTTACCTTAATTTGAAGGGAAAGCGACCAGTATTCATTTATTTACATGTCCTAATAATCATTCATATAAGAACTATTATTTTAAAATACGTTAGATTTTCTCTTTTGTGCATTTAGAAAAATCCACCGAAATTGTTATTACTTACCTTTTTTATACTCTCCAATTTGAATCACTCAGTTGCAGAATCCATTAATAAGAGGCGTTCACTTTACACTAATATAACCGATCACCTTCGTTTTAAACAATTACACAAATAACCGTTAACAACCATCAAATATTTTAACGTCTACTAGTCCATACAGCTTCTATCCCTAATGATCAATCAGAATATAAACTCAACAAGTTAATTTACCTTCTATTGCTCTCGATATTTTAACTTAAAAATTCATAGGATAATATACACTAATTACAAAAGCACAATACACTGTATATAAAAAAATTTCAATTTCTACATAACTAGGTCATTTATAATACAACATTGAATGATTACTGCATCATTGATTAGTGTTAATTTTCTTATTCTGAATTGTAAAACATCTATTAATAATTAATGATTTAAATGAAAGTTTACAATCACAGGGCAATAAAGAAAAGAACAATTATTAACTAAATGAATCAATAAATCTAAATTAAAATTAATATCAAAACAAACGCTCTTGAAATAGTTTTCGACAATCTTACCTTCTTCAATTATTCTTTCATATCTAACAAAAACCAACAGCTCTTTTTTCTACTATTCAATTGTGAACTCTGTATTTATTAGTTTATATTTGTTTCATTACATCAAAAATATCAAATTCGTTCCATTCATACCTCTCCCATACATACATTGTATTTCAAAAGTTTTTAAAAGCAGTAATAACACTAGAAATACATTAGTATTTGTAGATTTAGATGAATTCATATTATTCTTACTGGTTGTTGTTAATCATATATGTGTTTAATTCAATTTGCAATGGTTTAAATTATCCCGTTGTTTATATTTTTGACTGAAATTTGATCAATCTTGGTTGGGATATGGGCATCCTGTACAGTTAGCCTCGATATAATTCTTATAATGATAAGACGAAACGTACATCCTAGATTCCACTGCTAGCTACACTTCATATAATCTATATAAATTTGTGTCATAATGGCTATATTGAGGCAATCCACATGGGGTGCCCATATACTGATCAAAATTCAACCAAAAATATTAACAACGGGATAATTTAAGCTATTTCAAATTGAGTTAAAACTCATACTCGTTGAATAAGTGAATGGCTATATGGAATCAGTTGCTAAGTGGATAATGCGATGGTGCTTGAAGCAAACGGTGCTGGATTCAAGTCATTGAGTAAATATCAACTCTGCGATGCGGGTTCATCCGACTGACGAATCCCAAACAGAACGAAGCGCTCGTCCTGGATTCCACTGCTAGCTACATTTTATCTAATCTTTGTACAATTTTATTTGATATATAATCTTGTCAATGGTAAGAAGTATATTTTTAGAGGTTGTAAATTAAACTAAATGATTTTGTATTGATGCTACACATAGATCGTTTGACCACCTACCATGTATTTGTGATCAACGATTGTGGGAACTTTGTAGTGTGTATTCATCACAAATCGATCTCATTTGCGGTGCCATTAAAGGATAGGAAGCACTAGACAGCTGTTCTGCCCCAGTGTGGGGCTTCTCAACAGTAGGTATTCAGGACTGTGAGGGAGGCCCAGGGATCGAACCCAGGACATTCAGGTCTGGCGACGAATACCTATTCGTTTGGATAACTAAGTTGGTACCCAACGGTACAATTGTAACTTCGGTCAATTTTCGATATAGACCGATAATTATGGATAGCTTGGTCGGTATGGTTGAAAACCAGTTTCAGTGACACTGAAGTGTTCATTAAATTATCCTCTTTTAGATTCCGAGTTTTAATATTATTTCATACTTATTTGCTATTCCATTAATTCATTTCTTAGATTGAAATCGTGTACTAACATGCATATTATTATCGTTATTATTATTATCTCGACTCCTTTAGTTCATTATATATGATCCCCTAACACCAGCTGTTCTTCTATCTCTTGCTATCTAATTAATTAATTTTATCTGTATCAGTGAGTACCGAATACATATGCGCCACACAAGTCACCTGATTTCTGTGTGGGCTGTGTTACTCCCCGGGTCGGGGGCCACACACGGAGCCTTCTACCCTAAATGTCTGATCTACAAGGTAGTGGAGCAACGTTAGGAGATGCAGTCCCATGGTAGCCAGTGACCAACAATGGGTTTATACGCCATTTTTCCCTCAGAATACTGGAGTCCATGTGGACCATTGGTTCGGAATCAGAGTTCTCCAACTCCCCTAGGTGGACCCTCCGTGTCCATCAACCCGGTTAAGGCTCCGGATATTCGCTTTTCATCCTCTTAATTTCGTAAACAACAGAAATGCCGCGAAAAGGCAGTGAGTAGCACTTCTCTGTTAGTGACTGTATACGAGTGGCCATGTGAGAGCATTTGGAGAAGGAGAGTAGACTCTCCTCACCCGCGGCCGTACCAGGGCATTCGGGGGCCAAATTAGTGTTATTACATGTTAGTTCATTGTTAAAAGGATAATCTCAACAAAATTTTCGTAATATTTTTCTCCAATGGTCTTTGCTGTCACCTGACTGGTTGCCGTCATTTTTGTTTTGCTAGTTTTGTTGCACCGCAACGTCATTAGGTGTCACTATATAAATCAAGTTCTTTTATCTCGATTTTTGACTTCACTTTGGAATATAAAGCAACTATCCTTCCTTTCTGTCTGTGTGCTGTCAACCTATGAGTTATTAGTACTAGAATGTTGTGTGTGTTATCTTTCTATTGAATCCACCTTAAAACCTATTTGTATTAAAATAATCTTGATTGTTCGTTTATAGTAATTACCGTGAATCTCTAACTGGAAGCCCAATTCTTAATCGTTTTACTAAATGTTAACACATTTATTTTCACATGTTTTTTTTTAAATAATCCTGATAAAATTCAAACAAACAAAATTAAAACACGAAATCCAGAACAACATACTACTTCAGATATGTCGATGATACGTTCATTATCTGTGTTGATATGGATTACATTTCTCAGCTGCTTAGTCACTTCAACAACTATCATCCAAACATAATGTTAAAAATGGAATATGAAAGAGAAAAGTATGTATATGGAAGGAACATGGACGGTATAGTATTTAACCCATAATAACTTTTGTTCTATCAATTACAAGAGTTCTCTAGTCAAAATCCTCTTCAATAGAATTAGAATTTTATGCTCAAACAATGAATTTATTGAAGAATTGGCTATGCTAGAAAAGCGCTTAATTAAAAACATATATTCGAAAAAATTTATTGCAAAATATAGATAAGAAGATTCTAAAGATGATGAACAACCAACTTTTTGATAAACCTGTCGCCATCTTTCTTCCGTTCAAGGGAAATGAGATTTCAGAAACATCGATGTGCGAATCAAGGCAGCACTAAAAAGAAGCTTCCCTGCCGCTCAATTAACTTCACTGTACAAAACCAAGTGTTCGTTATATAATTCAAGGCAGATCAATACCCTCCTGACGTCATCTCCAATTACATCTATGACTACATATACCAGCGATAGCAAGTAAATTGAAAGGACAGAGAGAAAGGCCTCTAATAAGTTTTCTGAACACATTCCTAGGAAACTATATCTAAAAGGGAGTAAAATGTTTGCAAGTGTCATTGCCTGAAACCTTTTAAATAGTAGATGTGAAGCGAATTTAAATAATCCATTCAAAATAATTAGCACATAAAAACGTCAGTCTTATTGCGTTTTGCATAGGCAATCTCCATGATATATTTCCGAGCCAACCTATTGTACACAGAAGGAAAGAGTGATAGTGATTATATGTTCATCAAATAACCTTCATTAATTTTTGTCAGCTCTTTTTTTATCTTTTGATAGTTGTCTCTTACATAATCTTATGAATGTCATCATATTTATCTTATCATTTTTTAGCGATCATCCAATCACTTATTAATTTCACTACCTTTTGCATATCCTCTTTTATCCTGATTACAATTACTGGCAACCGTAACACTTGTTCTACTCTATATTACTATATCAAATAGAATAATGAATTGGTTTTATTCTGCAAGCCCTTGTTTTTCCTGTTCAATTTATTTTTATCGTTTTCAGTGTAATTCGGCTTGGGCACCCGGGCAGTATCCAGCCCTCACACAAATCGAATGATTTATGTGGCGCATATCTACTTGGTGCTCCCTTGTACCAATGTTTATGTGTTTAAATAAATAAATTCGTAGTATGTTTCACGTGCATTCACATAATATTCTTTTGTAAAGTATTGTAGTGTCTAGTACCATATCAAGCCCACATGGGTTATTCTAGCTTCCGGACGGACCAATTTATCCATTCTTCTTGAGCTACATTTCGACGTTTTCAATTATTCGCTTATTAACGTTGACTGTTTTTATATGAGTACATTTTTGTGCATTGCTTATCCTACCTATCACACGTCCGTAGCTTATTTTTGTCTGATTATAAATACCGAGTCACCCGATCAAATCGAGTTGACCTCCGCTTCTTATTCTGAATGTCTGCCTGAAATGAATTCATCCAACGCAACCCGGATTTGGTTTCTTATTATCGCCGTCACACAAACGAGGTTAGTCTAGGTAATATACGGAGTTAAATGGAAGATTTATGTTCATAAGATCTTCGTACTATCAAAGCGCAGTCAAATACCAGGTTACAAAAGTATATTTCTTTTTTTTTCCTGATAATTAGAATCTTTATGCTGCCAAAATCGACCTTATTTCAATTTCTCAAATAATGCTAGTGAAAATGATAATCAATCCGAATCGATGAAACCTAGTGCTGATGAAAGTAAAGATGATCCCGCAGAAGAATCGGACTCATCAACATCTTCATACAGTTGTCCATTTGCTCAATCTGTTATTGATATAAATCAAAGTTGTGATTGGAACAATGAAGCCCTTAGTATGCGTAATTATGATTCAGAAATCATTGAGTAGGTTTCATGTTTGCTAGTAAACTGCAAAGTTCAATTTGTTTATTATGTTTGTGACCGATTTTTTTTATGAACCTACTAGATAGTATTACAACAGGTAAATAATTCGTATACTTTTTCTGCAAGTTAATGTTACTTTTAATTTATTAGAATAGCACTGTGGTTCAGACCAGTCTTTCTTTTAGGCATTTGTTTTAAATGAATCAGCGGAAACTCCACAAAGACAAACTATGCAACTACCTTCATAGATTACACTAGACATCTTGATCTCAGCTAAATAACTGAAAACTAGGAAACAATGGAGATTAATGCAAATACCTATTTATAAAAAATCCTTCACGTTGATTGGATGACTTATTCAGTATACAGTAAACCGAAGAACCATGTACCTATTTATATTCGATCATTTTGTTGTTTGATTATGTTTTCCTTGAAAAAGCTTGAACCAGATTGCCAGGCGAAACGTTGGATTTACTTAAAAATTCATTCGCTGAGATTTTACAAATATATTCTTCTTTTTAATGTCTGTTTCGTCTTAGCATGTATGGGGCTTGTCAAAAATGCATATCCATGACCCGACTGAGGGTCGAACTCTAGACCTTCGGTTTCGCTGAGAGCTCTTGAAGGTTTAAATTATCTGAAAGTAGTATTGACATATTAGGTAGGCTTTCTTCGACTTTGTTATTTTCCTTTACCATTGTGGTTGATGACTTTGTAGAAGCAATCGTTTTTGTGAGAGTGGTCAGTCAGAACCTGAACAGTTAATTACTTGCGTGTATCACTTTGACGCCTAATAATACAGATTTTATTCTCTGACGTTATATTAAATTTCAAAAAATCTCAAGTACTGACTGATATGACGAACAACATCTGATCCTGTTAGTTAAGCTTTAGTGTAACAGGTTTACAAATTACTTTCAAAACTCATATATAACATTCATTAACATTTTAAACGAGCCTATTGGTGTTTATCTTGTGTAAAACATGCTGTATATAAGTGTGTGATTCTGTCACATAAAATGTCATTTCTACCTATAAATTATTCTGCCTTCTAATATTGGTTCATCGGAGCACTGAGCTAATAATTCAGGTTTGTGAGCAGTTATTACTCGATCACTAACATTTCAGGAGACCAGTCTCTCAATCGACACAAGTTATGCAAATTCTCCTTCGTGTTATACCACGTACAATTCGCGTAGAAGTGGCGATGAATACAAAACCTTGGTTCTGTTCTCTTTTTCAATAAATTATAACCGTACAGCCTCCCTATAGAAAAGATGGTGTATATTCTTCCTACTTTACGAAAAACTTTCTGTTTTCCTGCAGAGTGTATATTAGTCAATAAGTCACTCATAATCAGCGTATTCTGGTTAGTGTTTCTTAGCAAGTTTGATTTCTACAGGATGGAGTTGTTGACCCCAACCCTCTCCCTTTACCCGGGTTAAGACCAGCGGTAACCCTAGAAGAGCTATAGGAGGGGTTATAATTAACGTATGACTTGGTACAAATGTGCCGCACAACAACTTATACGCTGCGTAAAACCTGATACGTATTTTCATCGGTCCAAGTTACTTTATCCCATTAGCATAGTGCGATGAAACCATGAAGACAATTCCCATATTGGTAAAAATAATAATTTCGAAACTCAAAATCCAAACTAAGATCAATAGTGAATGCACCTACACCATTGCAACGATTTTAATTCATATCATCCAGTATCTCCAACTATTAATTACGACAATCTCTCAGACCCTAATCATCAGGTGATCTGAACCGATCAGCGATACATCAATACAGTAAGAGAAAATGAACGAGATAAATAAAAGGGTAGTATGTGATGAAATATCAATAATGGTTGATTGCATAACTTGAAAATGAATTCACCCTATAAATCCTGGCCAAATGTAAATCATTCCTTAAATAAGCTTCTTGCATCCAACTAAAGTGAGAGAAAGAAAAAATTCAACTACATACTAACACTGTTACCCGGTTGACGTAATAAGTTAACAGTAATTAATGTTGTCATCTTACAACACATATTTCCATGACTTGTGCAATATTCCCCATATAAAAGCAATCACTATGTTGACTAATTTATGATTAAATTTACACCATCTATTTCTGATATAAAAATCACAGCTAAAATAATTAATTACAAATTGACCTCAAATGCCCTGGTATGGCCGAGGGTGGGGTGGGCCCGCCCTCCCTCTCGAAATACTCTCACACGGCCACGCGTATACAGCCTCTTCCAGGTAAGTCCTACTCACTGCCTTCTCGTGGCATCTCTGTTGTTTACGAAATTGGGAGGACGAAAAGGGAATGTCCGGCGCTTTAACCGGATTCCCAACCAATGGTGTACATGGGCTCCAGGATACTAAAAGAACAAATGGCGTATGAACCAATCGTTGGTCACTGGCTACCATGGGACTGGATCTCCTCACGATGCTCCATTGCCTTGTGGGTCAGACCTTTAGGCCCAAGGTTCTGGGTGTGGCCCCCTAAGAAAACCGTCTGCTTCGGTCTGGGCACCCGGGCAGTATCCCAGCCCTCACACAAATCGAATGATTTATGTGGCGCATATCTATTTGGTGCCTCCTTGTACCAATGTTTATGTGTTTAAATAAATAATATAAAAATTATAAATTATTTAGTTTTTATGGGATTTATTTACAAGATTGAAGTATTACTAATATGTTCGAATATCTAGATATTCCAAGTTTATTAGTAAAAAGTAAATAATCTAGTCATTTCTGGCTCATAGTGATATCTATCACGAAGGCATAGTCATATTCTCTTCAAGATTCAAATATATCTCATTCATTTCCACGTCTAGAAATATTACCACTAAACAAATGGCTTTATTTGGAATTGAATAATTTTAATGAATTCATCACTAGTAAAAATGAGCTTACTAAACATTCTAAATATAGTATGATAATATTTAACGGTTCGAAACCCTAGACCTTTCTATTGCGTGACTTCGAATATTTCATACTGATAAAAGATTCGTCATCATGTATGTATCGAGAATCCAGCTACGTTTGTCTATACAGCATTTCAGAAAATTGATTCTGGAATTCGCTATAGCCAGCTTGACAGAAAAAAAACTGAGAAACCTGCTGAGTTCTTTTAGTGTCACTGGATCCGTGCAACTTTTTTTATTCAATGATACAATGGGTTATTTTAATTAACCGAAAAGTTGCAAGGATCCAGTGACAGTGAAGGAACTCAGTGGGTTTCTCAGTTTTTTTCTGTCAAGCTTTCTATAGCGAACGCCAGAATCAATTTTCTGAAATGCTGAATTCTCTTTATTTTTATTCAGTGACACAATGGTTTATTTTAATTATCATGAAATAATATTCTAACTGATTCTTGTTTGTTTGTTTTTTGTTTCGTGTATTATTTACGTAACATCGTATTTTGTAAAATTTTAGTTTACGATCTCAACTTCAATTACCTGTTACCAGAGAAGTGGATGATAGTTGTATAGAAATAGTTTTACCTCCAACTTTCACTAGTTCAATACTTACTAATACTCAATCAAATGAGTCAAATGTATTATCTACATCCAATGTAATTAATTCACATCATTCTTCATCAATTTTTGACGATAACAAGATTTCCATTCCTGTTGATGATAATACTCATAAAGATTGTCAAGGAAATCAACTTCCTATGGATCAAACGAATCAATACAATGATAATCAAACTAACAGCACTACTATTACCTCTCCTGTCGTTGCTTCTGTACATGTTAAATCTTCATCCTCCTCAACAAATTCACCTTCATCAAATTGGAGACCATTATTGCTATTTGTTCCTCTTCGACTTGGATTGCATAATCCTAATCCGTGTTATTTCAATGCAATCAAAGTACGAGAAATAGTATCTTTTTGTATTTTTACTAATTCAATATTATATACTCTTTAAAATCTTTTGTCGACACTATTGACATAATTAATAAGAACTTTCGTCTAAATTTGAACGAATAGTTTCACAATATTTGGGCGCCGAGTTAATGTGAGACATTAAAAAGAAGAATATATTTGTAAAGTCTCAGCGAATGAATTTTAAGTAAATCCAACGTTCGCCTGGCAATCTGGTTCAAGCTTTTTCAAGGAAAACATAATCAAACAACAAAATGATCGAATATAAATAGGTACATGGTTCTTCGGTTTACTGTATACTGAATAAGTCATCCAATCAACGTGAAGGATTTTTTTTATAAATAGGTATTTGTATTAAAATAACCCATAGTGTCATTGAATAAGAAAAAGAGAATTCAGCGAAGAAAATTTTCTTTTCGACGAAATCATTTACTTAAGCTGTACATTCGTATATATAGTTATATGGAAAATGTATGTCTATAGAAGGATAGAAAGGGTTGTATCACAAAAAAATGGATTCGACAATAAATAACAAATGAGGTTAACGTACTAATCAAGGGGTAAGGAAGAACAAAATTTAAGGGTCAGATAATAGTCCAATTGACAGATTGACAGATATGAAGAAAAACGACAAAACAACAAAGGTCATAATAATAAACTGAATGATAATCAAGAAAACTTGTAAAAGGTAATAATAATAAATGATTAAAGTTTAAAGTGCAAAATAGTAATTTAAAATATGGATAATAATAAAAGTGCATTAGGAAAAAAAAACAAAAAAACAACCTAGCAACATACCCATTAAGGCCAAGGAAGGATAAGAGGCTGGACAAATCGTTTCTGCACGCAGTGTGTAAGAGACATGTTTATATGAAAATAATAAAGGTCAAACAAATAAGAGTTCATTTGAAAATAACCAAGGGGAGAGAAAGAATAAGAAATTGTCGTGTTGTCCTAGGCCATAGGATGACTTAAGGATTACAAGGTTATGACAAATTGTTTTTGTACACATAAGGACAAGGTATGTGTTATGAAACCAAAGCGTGTTAAGACAACAGAATGTGTTTATACGCAAGTGCTGTGAGAAGAAATTTCATTCAACTAAATATTGAATCCGATCTGTGTATATTAAGAAAAACAGATCATTTTTATATATGAAATGAATCAAAAAATGCCACTGCCTGCATTAAATGAAGATAAATAAGTAAACAAAATAAAAGAGGAATGTATATGTAATTAGAAGTGTGTGTTATTTTAATGTTCTAGTCAATTGTTTAACATATTCAGATAAGATAACGTATTTGAATCATTGAACGTATTATCTACCAATTAGTTACTATGGCATAGATATATCAAATTGCAAAAAGGAGATCAGGTTTACTTATTAATTATTAGTTGCCATGGGACAGCTAGTTGTATTCCATCTCTCCTATTAATATTGTTTGAATTAGCCCATATATGTAGAGCTTCGGCTGTTAGTCGTTCTTTGTAAGAATTAAATCCTTTTTGAATGATTCTCGTGCCACTGAAATAAACTGTATGACCCGATTCAATGGAGTGTAATGCTATCGCTGATCTGTTCTCAAGCTTTTTTGACATTAGTTGAGGATTTAGGAATGTGCTTTAAGCACAGTTTGTGTTCCTTCACCCTCACATTCAGTTGCCTTGATGTTTCACCTACATACGTTGCATTACAGTCATTACATTTGATTTCATAAACACAATTCTGTTGATCATCCTTGTGTATTGGATCTTTGATTCTTACTAGTTTTGATCTTAGAGTATTGTTTGTTCGAAAGAATACTCTTATATTTTGACGAGTTAAAATCCTTCTGATGTCTTCTGAGATATCTTTACGATATGGGATCACTACTGTGTTCATCCAATCTTACTTAACTCTTTTTTTAAAAATATTATTTTGTTCTTCGTTTTTAATTATTCTTTTAATAAAACCTTTCGGATAATTATTTTGAAGTATATATATATATCGTAACAGATGCAAACGTTCACCATTTTTAACACATAACATTGTCAAACTCAGTAAAACATGCCTTATTTTTGGCCTTTGTAAAATATTATAATTATGGACTTATAACTGTAGAGCCTGATGTTGAAGTTATTGAAAACAATTGTTCGCTCATATATTCTCCGTCTTTGGATAATTATTCATTAATTGTTTTGATTTACTAATAAATGGAGTTTAATACAATCAATATCTTTATGAACGACACTATGAGTTCAACACACAAATACAGTTTTGAGGATCAATAGTACTTTTTATTCTAGACAAACTGAGATGGGTGATCTCATATTCCAATTGAGGTTAAGTATCAGTTGTCAAAAGATAACTGTCCATCTTCAATTGGGTTCAGTTTACCTAGTCCCACTATTTGATCATCCGGGCTCATAAAAAAAGTTGCACATAAATAACCACAGATAGTAATCAACTTGACTACATAGTCACTAAAATCATGTAGTCCATGGTCATTTAAACCCGAACTGGAACTGTGTTACACCCAAGAAAACCAAACATGATTGTCAGTTCACCGCTGCAAACATACCTATGCATAGATAAAATATTCATAATTGGCACAAGCGTATTCTGTCACATTTTCTAGATTATTATGCGAATTTACAACTTTATCATTCCATATATTTTTTTTTATAATCGAATATTCTTCAAATAATTTTATTAAAGTTGTCATTATGAAATAACTTATCAAGTCAAGTATTGTTCTCCCAACCCTACGAACCGTTAAAATGATCTATACTGAAATAATCGAGCGCCTTCCCCGTTCACTATAAACAGAATTACTCAAGTAATATTTTGATACAATGGACCAATCAGAAATCACCAGACGTGCAAATGCATGTGATTGGCCAACAGATGGCTTTATTTTGCAAGGGACAAGATATAAACTGCTAAAAGGCTTAATAGCATGATATATATAAATCAGTGTATATTTATTTCTTGATTCAGTTAGCCAAATTATCTTCCTCACTATTCATTCCTTCTCTTGTGTATGTGCAGGCTTGAGCATGAGAAGATCGCGTAACGGTATCAGCTCTCGGACACTACACGTCATAACATATTATACTTTTATTCATAATGTTTGAAAGTTTACCTGACATAAAGAAGAGCCGATAATATCAGCTATTAGTTGTGTGATTTTTAACACTTTCTTTGTATGGAATGTACACAGGGTTAATGTTATGACTGTGAATGCAGATAAGATGGCAGCGAATGATCGACTGGACCAAAGACGCGTAAACACGTAAGAACGACCTAGAGTTCTGATTGTTCCCGCTTCCGTATCTAGCCCAACCAGTTGAGTCCAGAACGCAAGTCTCAACCTCTGAGATATGAATCACTATACTTCAAGCATACTGAGTTTATATACCAATCAAACCGACCACAACTTACCAATAAAATATGAAATCACATCTGTACACGAATTAGCCAGATGTGGCTGTGAATGAGGGAGGTAGCGATTAACAGACAGGGAATATGTTCATGAATGGTAAATCGTATGATAATAGTTCATAGGTCAAAATAAAGCTCACAATAAGAGGGACATGAATATGAACAGTTTAGTTACATAACAATTATACGATAAAAATATACTCATAATATTGGTCCATAAATAGATCCCAAAAATTACCATTCATTATTCTTATCGCGATACAACAGTTAAGTTTACAAATAGGTGTTTATCTTATGTATAAAAATATGATTTTCCTATTGTTTATTGACATTTATATCTGTCGTTTATATATTGAAATTAGACAATTTTACATTGACTGTTTATTCATTCATGCATACCAAGTGTTATCATCTTTACTCGTGGCTAACAATTTTCTTTTTAAAATAACTTTTTTATAGGCTGTATTTCGTTTGCCAAATTGTGTCGGAATATTAGGCGGTTCACCATGTCATGCTGTCTGGATTGTAGGTGTTACTGATGATGATGTAATCTGTTTAGATCCGCATACTACTCAACCCGCTGGTCGCGGTAATTTAAAACCAGATTATGATCAAACATATCATTGTGATAATCCTATACGTATCCCGCTTAAACGATTAGATCCAAGCATGGTATTAGGTTTTTTATGCTCAACTGAAAAAGAATTTGATGATTTATGTCATAATTTAAAAGAAGAGGTTCTACATCCCTCAGTGGCTAATTCATGGCCTTTAGTAGAAATTCATACAACAAGACCGTCTAACCTACCACCACTTCCTTCATCCAATATTCCAAATGATCTATTAATTTCTGTATATCCTTCAGATCAGGATAATCTTGGTTGTGGTGTTGATGAGAATGCAGATAATTCAACTCACAATGCTAATAATAAAGATGATGAACATGAAGGTAAACTAAGTGAAGCAATGGGTGCAGTAAAAGCTCTATGGTCTAAATGTAATCAAGTAGCTGGCGATACTGTTCGTAGTTTAGCAAATGTACCACAACGATTTGTAAAAAGTATGTTGTTTTTATAACTACTTTCTATTATTGAGAATAAAAATATTCAACACCTAAAAGTTTATTCAATTCATCAGTCTTGTTACATTTATATGTTGAAGCTGTCACCATATTTATAGATTAGTGGATGGTACACATTAGTGACGAATTACCTTGTATTTCTAATCATTAACTTTTCACTCAAATTATCGTGTTTTGTTTTATCAGTCTTAATCTTTCTATCCTACTCATTGTGGGCAATAACTAATTAGACACTACATCAAGGTATAGCAGCTTAGTTCTCCTAAATACTTATTATACTACTTAGAAATAATATATACATGGTCTATGTTCTTAATAACGTTCCCTCAGTTCGGTACTAATAATTATCATATGGTCCATGTATCGATCATCACTACGTTTCTCTGAAGTCTGTTTGTTAACAGTTGTACGTGGCCTGTAAATTTTGCATTATACGATACTACATATCATTTGGAATATATATTATTATTAACCCGTACAAGCGCATATAATAATTTTAAAATATTGAGAAAAATAAATAACGTTTATGTTGACAATATGAGACTTGTGTCTAACCGATGTTGTTATTGTTGTCATTGTTTTGTATTGTTGTTTATTAGGTGAATATGTTTTGACTGGTATTTTGTTGAATACAGCACATAAGAAAAAAAGTGTGAAATGATATTACACTCAAAATTTAGAGTAAGATAAGTAGTATCAGCTAGAAGCGGCCAAACAATCATATGACATCAGTTCATGAAATTACTGACTGTTGATCTAAGCCATATTGGTAGATGCAAACTACCTTGTTGTCATCCACGAAATAACTACAATCTTACTGACTTTACTTACGCCTGTCGCCCCTCGTGGAGGAATATAGGTAGCCCATCAGCATTTTCCATTCAACTTTGTCCTGAACAATCCTTTTCATGTCTGCTTCCAATTCTCGGCGTAGTGTGTTCTATAACCTTCCTATTTTCTGCTTCCCTTCACGATTCCAAGTTAGCGCTTGCCTCGTGATGCAGTTTGATGATCTCAACGTGTGTCCTATCCACTTCCAACGTCTTTTCCTAATTTCCTCCTCAGCTGGAAGCTAGTTTTTCCTCTCCAACAGTACACTGTTGCTGATGGTATCCGGCCAACAGACATTCAGCATCTTGTGTAGGCAATTATTTATAAATACTTGTACAGATTTGATGATGGCTGCGGTAGCTTTGGGAGTTCCAGCTCTGCACAGTAGGATAGTCTTGACGTTCGTATTAAAGATTGTGACTTTGATATTGGTTGACAATTGTTTTGAGTTGCATATGTTGTTCAACTGTAGGAATGCTGTCCTTGATTTGCCAATCTTTATCTTTACTTCTGCATCATCGATGATGCTACACAAGTACGTGAAAGATTCCACCTCTTCCAGAGTTTCTTTCTCAAGTGTGATTGAGTTCATTTTCTCTGTGTTGTATTTGAGGATGCTGCTTATTTTCTTGTGTATGTTGAGACATACTGATGCAGATGATTCCGCTACACTGTTTGTCTTGACCTGCATTTGTTGATGTGTATGAGATAGAAGGGTCAGGTCATTTGAAAGTTCAAATCGTCTGGTTGCATCCAACTTGTCCATTGTATTCCGTTCTCCCCCTCAGCTGTAAAAGTCTTCAGAATCTATTCAACCATCAGAAGTTAGAAGAAATGCGAGAGTAAGCAACTTTGTCTGACACCGGTCCCTACTTGGAGTGCATATGTCATTTATCATCCATGCACGACTTTGCACTGTAGTTTGTCGTATGAATTCCGTTTGATGTTGACGATCTTCTCGGGTATACCATAGTGTCGAAGAAGGTTCCATAAGGTTCTATGCGCATAAATAACTACAAGCAGTGGTTGATAATTTGGGGTGATATGGGTCACACTTGGTGACACAGGTCCTGGTACATTCATTCTTTTTCTTCTTCATCATCTTAAGTTCCAGTATTCCTTCATACATTTTTTTCATTGTCTTCTTGAACAATACTCTGAATGTCTAGTTTTTCTCAGTATTGTTGCTACCATATTGCTTCAAGTGTTTTCCTATTCCTGTTTTTTTTTATATTTTCATCTGGTCGTGATGATGTGATATAGCAACTTGAACTTAAATTTTTGACATGCTCTACTTTGATAGCTGATACTCCCTGATGGATTCCTGTCGACTTCTTCCAACTGCCACCTTACATCTTAACATAGTTCATTTAATTTCAAGTCACTTAACCTAGTAATCATATCGCAACTTGACCGATAGAATTCGACCAACACTAAGAAGGTCTGGACATGCATCACATTGATCACTACTCAGTAACAAATTCATTTTAAACAGGATCCTTTCACTTCTAGTTGACACTGGATTCCAAGCTGATCAATCATTGTTGGGATATGTAAATCGTGCGCGGATTACCTCGATATAACCATTTTATCACAAGTTTTATAGAATAGATGAGTTTTTACTATCACTAGAATCGTGGGCGCTCGTTTTATTATATTTGAGACTCGTCAGCTGGACATATACTTGCATCCAGGTATTAATGTTTATACTGGGACTCGAACTCAGTACTCTTCACTTCAAATACCAACATATTATCCGGACGTTTTGTTACATATGTTTCTAGATTAATTTTTTATTTGAAATCGTACATCACATAACTGAACTGTATTTTATTTTCTCTTTCTCTTTATTAACAGGTCCGGAATATGAAGTTAGTTAATTAAAATGGTTAATCTCAGTGTGTCGTTATGTATTATGAATAATTAATTATTATCCAATGTAGTTCTACTGGTTATTTGTTTGTTTGTTTGTTTTAAATGTCAAGTACACACAGTCAGAATTGATTAACAATATAGGGAAGAAGAAGAAAACAATTATTAAAAATTTATCTGTCTTATGAAATGTTTTCCTTTTGCACACGTACACATACACAGATACAGAGAGATTGAATGATGGCGGTTAATGTCTATACCAGAAACTACAATTATAATTACTAGTAGTATTACTATTGTTTTTGTTGTTGTTCTGTTTTGTGTTTCTTCTGTCGGATTCCAAATTTCACTTTATATCTTTTGATAATTATTGACATAGTTTATATTTTTAAAAGAAAATTTAACATTTATTAACTGTGATTGCGTGGTGTTGATAGTCCGTTAGTCGACTGTAATGTCTACTTGTCTTGGTAATAACAACAATTATCACTATTATTGTTATTATTACTGATTGCTACCGTTGGTATGATTAACAGCAGTACTAGTAAGATACAACAACAATGATATTCTATGAATTCAACTGTAAATATCTTTCTTTTCCTTTCTATGAAGATTCTTCCCCATAAAACTAATGTCATTTAGGTGTGTGTGTGCGTGTATGTTTGTCTATATTTATCGGGATGAATAGATTCTGTGTTTGAATGATTGAAATTGTTTTTCACAACAAAAATAATAAATATTACTGCCTCTTCTATTAAAAAGAAACACATACAATTTGATGTAATCAACCAATCAGTCCATTCACACATGTACACACAGATACACACGAACGAAGTACGTGCACTCCTTGTTACAACAAATATCCCCACTACTAATCAGTGTGATAAGATTTCTATAACTATTATTATTATTATTATTATTATTATTATTATTATTATTATTATTATTATTATTCGTTGTACCAATGATAATTATCATAATTATAATTGTTATACTTCTATAGAGGTGACAAATTTCACTTAAATCAGGTATTATTGTCCATTGCCAAATTTTTCCGTTTCTCCGTCATATCTCTTTATTTATTTGAACTATTAAATGATTATCGATGAACGATTTAATCTTATTGTTTCAATAATAATAAAATGGTATATTGCAAATAAGAGAACTTTTGTACAATTATTCACAATCGATAAGGTTTCGTTGAGATGTAATTTAAACTACCGTTGGAGGTCTAGAATCTCTAGACAGCATTTGAGCGCGAGACGGAATATTGTGGGTTTGATTAATGAGTGTGGGATCATGGATGCGACATTACTGAGAAGTCCCATACTATGATGAAATGGCCGTCCAATACTTGAATATTTTCAATGGTTGCTTCACTTAGATCGGTTCATGATTTCGATGAAATTCAAAATCCTCTACAACCCCTTACTAATAACCTATAAAATGTGTAGCCCTTATATTTTTTTTATGCATTAGTTTATAGGAAGTGGTCAGCATATATACTGTCCAATGATAAAGATCACAAAGAAATATAACAGAATAGGAACTCGACAAATGGGAAAACTTCTACTTATGTTAAATAACGATGCTTTGAGTAGATTGGCGCCTTAGTATTTACTGTAGGGTTATGACTCTCAGCATTTGTAAAGTTTATGTGGCTCATGTCAAAGGTCACTCTACTTTCATAGTAGTATGTCATATGTTTAGCTAATGTTTAACACCTGCTACTCAACTGTATGATGACATGTGTATAGTTTCATCCTGCAACTATTTTTAATCTAGACTTTCCTCAATCGGTAGTTCTGTTGCAGACTGGTAGTAGTTTCAAGATACTTGTTACTCCAGAATGTTCTGTTCTCATTTTCAACACCTGTATTAAGTATACCAATTGTAGGCCAGCACATAGTGCTATAGATGATATAGATTGTTGGATACTGAATAAATCTTCGCTACTCTTGCTATGATTCTATCTGTGATCAATCATTAAGAATTTACACAACTACTGCCTCTAAGCTGCTTTTGCTCTACATTTTACCTGTAGGCAGTTTAAAATAAACTTATAAACATCAATCGCTTATTATGTTAACACCGGGAACAAGCAGTATTTAGCGACTTTCGATTTCAGATTGCTAACTCGCTTGATCATTATTTCAACAGTAAGCCAAATACTTTACTGGACTAAGCTAGAAAAAGAGTTGGTTAGTGCTTCAGTAACTCTCGTGTCTATTTTTGACTGGAAAACTAATTTTCTCTTTTAATTATCAACCATTCAAATTTTCCATCTGTTTACGCGCACACTTACAAGAACATAAAAAAGGATTTCTGTCCATTGTTAGGTTGATTTCAATGGCCACCGAATCTGACAATGTTTTATGAATTAATGTAGTGTTGGCTTGAAGCAAATGATTACATAACTAGACGCAAAAAAGGATCACGCACGTTTTCATAGTTTCGAAGGTAGACTCATAATTAAATTCACCTACTTACGTGATTTGTCGGAGGCAAGATTGATACCTATTGGTTAGGCATATTCTTGATTTTGTTTAAACCTCGGGTAGTAAGTTTGTAACTGAGAACTACGAATATTGTCGTATTTGACTGTTCTTTTGAATCTCGTGTTATACCTATAGAGTATGAGATTTGCAATAGATAACTACGTTTAAAACTTATAAACACATCCGAGAAGCACAGTATCTTAGGATATCAGTTGTATAGCCCCGTTCGATTTGAAATACCCTTCGAAAGTTGAAGCTCTAACATGAGGTTAACAGTGATTTTACCGTACTAGGGATTGTATTTTGTAGGTTCAAGTTACAGGTTGTGAGAACTGTGATCGACTTCATGAACATAGAGGACAGATGAAGGGGAATTTTGATGTGCATGAGAAATATGCTTCATTCGGTATGAGTAAACTGATGTTGCTTTCCAACACCTCACTACACAGAAGTACCTGAATTAGATATATTAATATTGTGTGACCTCATAGCTCAAAATTGACCTACTTGAGAGATGCTATACGCCGGTCTTTGATGTTAAAATGAATGGGGAAACTAATTCTCCCGAAAATTCCTTATCGTCTGTGATAGAAAGCTTATGGCAAAATGGAATACATGGTTTTCCTTTCAATGGAATAACATCTAACATTTTTATAAACACGTTCTTATGGTAGACCCTGTTAAGTATCTTCTTAACTAACGATCGTATATCTGTTCATGTTCATATGTTAACAAGGCTGAATGGTTTCAAGGTATGCTGGTACGAAGGTGAGATAATCTTATTTCTTAGTTTCAAGTTAAGCATTCCATCATTTCTTATCCTTTACTTTGTCACTCTCTATTTTCGTTAACAACTAATCTATTTATATTTTTTTCTTCCTTGTTTACTAATGAATATACGGGATATGGTTAACTACACAATACTAAATTTCATTCCTATAAAATATCCAACATCCAATTTTCAGTCCTTTTAACATACATTTTAAAAAATAATCAAGTCTAACTTCTTAATACTTCATTCTTAGATAATAGAATGAGAAGATAAAGTTTGGCATTACCATATGATAGATATATTAGCATATTTCATTTCGAACAATCCCGACTCATATGACAAGTGACAAATTAGAACCTAAATATAAACATAGATAATGAGGGAAAATCATATGAATTACATCCTCCAGACATAAGAATCAAATCGATATTTAGTGAAGGTTATATTCACTAGGATTAGCCATATTAACGTAAATGATACTGTAGTGAACAAGAACACGAGTGGGGACAATCGAATGTATTTGATACGAAATTACAGAGCATCTCACTAAAATCTGAGAACCATATAGTAAGTCGTTAATTTACAAAAGATCAGTCCATTGCCTCAGACTTCATTGTTCATGCATTTTCATACCAATTGCTCCCCGTATCCGTTCTTTCCCTCTCAATCTTCCACTGAAATACATTCTATGCCCGACCACCGTTATATACTACTTGTGTGGATATAAGTAACCCACACCACAAAACTACTGAAGACAAGATTAGGCTTCTAAATGGAAAACTGGTAAAAAATGGATATTAAAATCTATAAACGGATTGAAAAAATACATTATGTTGATAACTATTCTTTTGGAATCTAAAAAAGTATGTCTACATGATTCATTGGTTAGTTAAGTAACCATGTGTTGAAAGGAAGGCTAAATCGACTATCAATGCGACGTACTATACAACCATGGTCATTATCATTGAAAAACAAACAAACCTAGACAGCGGGTAGACACTTGCGTTAATTCTCAATGTCTTCACGAACTTACATGTATATACAGCCATACATATATATATTGAAGAGTGACTGTAATATCCAAATAAAAGTGGCTGGAAAAACAAATACAGTTCAATGGCCCATTAAAAACAAATGATAAACATCCACATTTCTCCACTGCAAATATAGTTGAAACTGGCCATAGGATTAGTCTTACTCAAGCCATTGTAGTTTTGCAGAAAAGTAATCTACGGTCAATACCTAAATTTGCTAAAACCCTATCCCTACGAAAACTCAGTTCCATCTTTTTGTTACAAAAAGAATCTATACTTGCATTAAACCTACCATTATAATTTTAATTGATTTTACTATTCAGAATATTATGATGCATATGCATTTTCATTATTATCTCTGCTCTTCCTTATTTTTTAATTTGTTTTTTACGAACCTCGTTCCTCCAATAAATATCCTAACAAACAGTCGAGATTGTTCGAAATGTCTTGTCACAGTGTAATCTTGAAATAAACTTTATTTTCTTAACCCCTGATCAAACGACTAAATTTAGAAAAGTTGGGTAGTGGCTAGCAGTGCAATCTAGGTTGGGGATTTTACCAGATGGGTATATATCACGGTGTTGATGTCTACACCAGGAATAGAAGCCAGTGCGTTTCAACCTAAACACGTAACTAGTTGTCCACTTAACTACTGATTTCAGATAACCACTGTTGTAAAACGAGATTAACTGAAATTATTTGTATCATCTTAGTGATAACACGAATGTTACTAGTTAGCTACTTTTGGTATTTGTGCATCCTTAGCGGATTGCCACGATATCGCCTGATATCCACAGGTAATTTTGGTAAAATTCGATAGAGACCAGCATTGAAACTCAGGTTTGGGATATAGTCCCAATGTGAACAGAAACACATGCGGTTACACCTAACCGACAAGTCCCAAATAGGGCCAATCGCACATCGTAGATGCAACTGGTAACTTGACTAAAATACTCATGAATATCTGGTAATATCGAGGAGATCCTCCCAGGATGTACAAATGTTAAAAGTGACTGATCAATTACAGTCCTTAATAACATAAATAAACACCTACAAATTAAAAAGCATCCGTTTCAGTCGCAACTGTCCATTAACATTTTATATCCTTATCACAACTATTTATTACACCAAACTGAACAAATTTCAAAACAAAACTACACAGATCACACATTTTAATAGTCATAACAAGAATGTAAATAATAATAATGATAATAATAATAATATTAGTAAATTATAATTAAAAACACTGAGTAACTTTTGTTAACGTATCGATTTGTTCATTTGATTTAGTTTGAGGCACATGATGAAACTATTTTGGACATTTTCCAATTACTTCTTCATTCGAACTCTTTCTACACTGATTGATAATCGTTTTCGAAATCAACATCAATTGATGTTACTAGGGATAATCGTTGTTGTCATAGTGGTAATAATAATAACTGTCGTGTTAGTGTATGTATGTATGTATGTATGTATGTATGTATGTATGTATGTATGTAGCATGTTTGTAGGTATGTGTGTATGTATATAGACATAATAATAGAAGAATCACGATGAGTTGTCAAAAAAAATCATAACAAACAAAATAATAATGGTAATAATAACCACAACGATAACAA